AAATTTTTCAAAAAAAAAATGAAACTTATGCAATGAAAGTATTAAATTTTAGTAGCCCGTATAAATATTTAGAGAAAATAATTCTAATACCATTAACAACAATAAATTAGATTTTCATTAAAAATAAAAAAAATTGTATTTGCAATTAAAAAAAAATCAAATCCATTTCCAAACAAAAAACATTCAATATTTTCTAAAAAATTTCAAAATTCACTAAAAATTATTTCAAAATATTCAAATTCAAAAAATTTATTTTTAATTCCAAATTTTCTAAAAACATATTTTTAATTCCAAATTTTCTAAAAACAATACCAATATCTTTCAATTCAAATTAATTTTCAAATTTTCGGAAAATTACAATTATATTAAAAAAGGCAAGCACTAAACTTATATTGCTACATATTAGAAATGCATAAAAATTGTCATTAAATTAATTAAAACATTTTTATTCTTTGCGCCATCAAACCTGCATCACTTCCACTATGCCCATARCCTTAAACGCCACTCTATATATATTTGTTTTACTGCTGGCGGCGCTAGTGCGGTGAGCGGGAGGCGAGGTCGTGTTGATCTTGCGCTCRCTCAGCGTGCACAATTCACTTYTACTGCTCATCTGTTAGCTGTTTGCCTTTGCTGTTTTGTTGTTGCTCAGCTTTACTGTTGACTGGTTGAGGCTTTTATTTGACATTGTTGTGTTCACTAATSACTGACTGTTGACGCTTCTCATCTGTTAGCTGCTACTTGTGTTAGCTTACTGTATTTARCTGATTTTATTGTTGTTTTGTCTCTCATTTGAGACACCTACTTGCTGCGTTCAGCTTTTAGTTGCAGCCTTTAAATTTGTTTTCATTTCGAAAGTTCGCTAAAATTCCACGACAATGTGGAGCAGCAATAAGTTTGAAATAATTGCTGCTCGCGCATTGATTTATTCATCGCTTGCTCTCMATCGCGCTCTCTCTTCTTCTCACTCTCGTGATTTTTCTTTTCATTTGCATAAGAGACAGCCTATTTAAATGCATTATTCATTGATAATTCATT